ATGACTCCCGAGTAAAAATAAAAGTATTCTTCATGTTCTTCGTTGGGACGAACACTACAAACCATCTCACCCGCTACACAGGGTTCAAGCACAACCTTCTTCATTCCCAGTTGAGGAGATTATAGTAGCCGAACAAAGCTTCGAGATATAGCTTTCATCGATAATGCTATGATCATAACTCAAAACCTCTTTATCTATCAAAGACCCAGTTGCATCCATCTGAGTATCTAAAGAACCTGAGGAGAGAGGTTCTATGTCATTGTTACTAACAAGAAAAAGGGTTTCACCATAAACTTCCCTAAGGATGCGATCAAAGTCTTCTCTATTTAAAAAACCATCAAACTCACGCATATAATTATTCCAGATCCTTTTTCTATCACTAGCAGTAAAAGAAGTTGAATAAAAAATATAACAAATAAAAATGGAAAGAATTGTACCTTGAATGTGGGAAGAGAAAGGAAAATTGAGTGAAGCTCTAGAGACGAAGATCGTTTGAAAGAGTGTCTCAAAACACAAAAACTAGTTTTGTAGGAAAAAAAATAATGATCAGAAAGAATTGGAATAGAGAAGTAATGATGAAGGTAGGAGTTCCCATAAATTCATCATGAAAAGGAAAGAGAAAGAAAAGCTTGTCATCATTAAAAGCTGACATAAGCGTTGGTTAAAAAAATTTCGGGATTATTTGCCTGAGTACTACATTTCATATGAACCTAGTACTCGTGGAGGCTTCTGTACATCCCAAAAATTATGTTGACTAGTCGAGATGTCAGCCCGGTAAAAACCCTTGCCTACTTCCAGGTCAGACTCCAGCAAAGGATGGCCGAATGAATGGTAAGTACTAAATTGTAGTGATTTTTAGTGTGAATAATTGGCACTTATTGGCTTGATTTGTTTGCTTTCCGTTAATAATCCCCCCTTTTTGTATACATTTTGTATAATTTACATATTGTTGTATATTTTGCGATATTGTGTACATATCAGTAAGTTTGATAGTTTTTCATCTGTTTGTATAGGTAATAATTCATGGTTAAAGTATGAACCCTTTTAAGCCAAGAGGGATGCTTCAAATGTAGAATTTTGGAGTTTTTAAACTGGCAGTTTGATAGGTACTTTAAATGAGATCATGCTTAGCGCAATCTGAGGGCACTTGGCGCAGTTGTAATTTTTCAATTTTATATAAATACCCCTCATTCATATTTTTTAGGTTATGGTTTTGGGGATTTTTTGCTCCCAACTCCATCAACACTATTCTTTGTGGAAGTAAGCTCAGAAACAACACTTGGAGGATGCATCTTGACGATCCGAAGTCAAATCCACTTCAATCGGAGTTGACAAACCATGAGATTTGTGTTCTTCTTCTTTCCTCTCTATGTATTTTTCATTTGTTGGGGTTGTTGTATGTAATTTTACTTTGATTGTATGTGTATTTATGGATCTTTGTATAAAATCTCATTTACAATTCTTAACCGATGTCATCTTTGCTTTACTATCTATCTTAATGGGTTTGGATCGCTATAGACATATACTTTTCGAACTCGACCTAAGATGTACGTCTATTGGTTGTGGGAAGGTCTAATATTCACACGTGTGTTTTGGATCTTAGTGCTCCGTGTTGTTTAGTTGCGTGAGACATCACCTCCGAGAAAATACGGTTGATCTCTCAACATTTGCGTTAGACATAACCTCTTGCTGTGAGCGATATGTGGGGATTTTAACGAGTGATTTAGGTTGCATGCATATGATCCATAGATCTTTTAGTACATGACGGGTAGAACAAAATACAACTCTTGACGAATTATTTCTCGTACTTTATTTACTTGTCATATGTTTTTCTTTTTGCATTTTTATCTCAAACCAAGCTTAGAAACATAGAGATTATCGAACGAAACTTTTTCCCTTGCACCGATCCCTGTGGAGACGATATAAATCCCGGAGGAAATTCTTTCGAAAATAATCTTTGCTTGTCGCTTTACCGCTTCAACAATGAAACACAAATAAGTCGAGCTTGTTCTAACCTAATTAGGTCTTGGTTATATAGGACGAGATGGTAATAGGGATCAGATGACTCTCCAAAGGGCACGATGGCCGATTACGAAAGAACAATAATGATGGGAGAAGTTACAATCATTGAAGAGGCAAATGTTATAAGGAAATCATTATAAAAGCGACAGACATTTTGGAAGAGAGATTAGCAAAGAGAGACCTATAAATAGGGGGTGTTGGAAAACAACAAGGGACAACCAATACACAGAACAGGCACTCATAACCATTCATATAAGGCTCTCTTTAGAAAAATAGCAAAGAATTCAACCTTTTAGTGTTTTAGCAAGAACATTGGGCATTTGGTTCATGACGTCCCAATCTCGGCAAAAATCGTCTTTACTATTTCCCAACCAACTCTTCAGTATAGCATGTGCAGATTCAACTTTGTTAGTTTTTGTTTTGCCAAAGTGTTAAATCTGATATGTCCATGCATAAACAATTGTCTCTTTAACCTAGTCCAAAATAGTGCCCTCAGCATATTTCAACAAATTTGATATCTCACACACACACACACACACACACACACACACACACACACACACACACACACACACACACACACACTCCTAGAATATATTACAAATTCAGTAAATAATTCTTTCATGGAAGAATTTATCATACCATTCCATGCATCCATTATATTTTCCACCATCACACAAGGTTTGAGCATTTTTCCATATTCAAGTTTGACTTGTTTGGTGCCTGCCATAGATTTTACTAGACTTCTCACATTTTTGGTTATGTGATATCTACAAAGTAATGCGGAAAGTGTAGAAAAAAACGTTGCAACCGAATTCATCAATGTGGTGTTATGGTTAGTGATTATTACTTTTGGTACACTTTCTTGATTCTTCAACATAATCTTGCACATTTCAAAAGCCCGTGTAACATCGTCCTCTTTTTCGGATTCCAAAATTGCAAACTCGACTGAAAAAGTCATCTTCATAGAAGTAACACCAACAATTTCCGGGAGTGAAAGTATATACTTGTTTGTTTTGTATGTTAAATCAATTATGAGCACGGTGAGAAAAATGTTGAACAACTTGATGGAATCGGTTTGACTCCAAAATATATCTCGAACGGTGACATAATCTTCATAAACTTTGTACCTAAAAACATATGTGTCATCTTTCAAAAGCTTCAACGGTTGTTGCATTTCAGGTGTTGGTCCTCTTACGGCCTTGTTATTTTGAGCACACACGTTGTATATTTGCTTGATATTTGAAACATTTAGATGTCTTTTTCCGTTTCAAAGATGTGAGTATGTTTTTGGCGTAACCATGCTTAATGTCATGTGTGAAACAAGTTCCCTCTCCTTCACAACAAAGCGACATACAATGGGATGACTGACTAGCTTATGAATCAAGACATGATTCTGTAAATCGGAAATTAGATTAGATTTTCATGTTTCATATATCATATGGTATTTGCGCAATTTAAACAGGCACGCACCTTTTCTCAATCTCGTGTCATCTCATTTCAACTTCCTAATCCGTGGTTGGTATGTGTCACTTCTTTCGCATCTCATTGTTACGAATTCTCGTCTTCTATCTGAACCATTATCGGACCTTTCGATTACAATGCCAAACCCCAATTTCGCAGCCTTCATGCAGACTCATTGTAGCATATGTTCACGAACAATAAATTCTTATTTATTTGTAAATTGTGCATGAACATCTACCTCAACAATGAATGGTCGAGCACCCGGTTTAACATCAGCATTCACTTCATCCGGCTTAACATCATGTTTCACTTCAATCGATTTAACTTCCACACTCACAATAGTACTAATAACAGAGAAACAAATTCAAAACTCAAATTATCAAGACATTCCAGATATGCATATCCGGACCATACCATACTTCGTCCATAGATGCATATCTAGATTCAATGGTCTTTTTTCAGCTTAAAACCAGATTAATGCAAGGAATTAAGGGCAAAATGAATGAACTTTACCTGCAATTTCAGTTTCTTTAGGAATTAAGGGCAAAATGAATGAAATTTACCTGCAATTTCAGTTTCTTTTGCTCCCTTTGATGTGACGAAATGCAAAAATAATATTCTGATGGTGTAAAGTTGATTGAGAATGAGAGAAACTTTTTAAGAGTTTTAAAAAATGGAAATTTTTTTTTCAACATACAAGGTGGTATTTTATCCAATTTCTCGCTTGACATTTTTAAATATACATCTCCAAAAATATTACTGAATCGTTAATTAAAAACATCCAAGTGAGTAAAAACCCGTGGAAAGAACCATGAGAATTCAATTTTTGGATTTATGTTTTTTTTTTTTAATGTAATTTACACTCATTTTTCATAATCTATGTAATTTACTCACGGCATTACCGTGGAAATTGTTAGAAAGTACACTTTAAACTTGCCTAATAAAAATATTTGCTTAAGATGTTTCTTTAGTCGACTAGGATGTTAAATCTAACTGACTGAAGAAATCTGAAGAACATAATATCAAGGTAAGAAAACACACATTAAGCTTAGCTAATAAAAATATTTTAAAAAAACCTCTAAAGAATGAAAGTTTTCTGGGATGTTACATTCATCACTACAATCATCTCTCTGAAGACTACAAATAAATAGATTCACAAAAATGAATATAATTAGTCTTCCAAAATAGAAAATATTGAAGCCATCTTCTTATGTTTACTCTTATATTGTAAGCGCAGTTCCAGTTGAATCTCTACCTTATACCGATTTCTTTGGGTTTGGATCCTCTCCCACATTTTTCTCTACAACCGTCAGTAAATTTTCTCATTTCTTTCATTATCTCTCTCTCCTCTCGCTCACATTATTTTTGTTAGTGAACGATGTATGCATGAGAGGATCCATGTCTGATTTTTGAGCACCATGAATGACGATATTTGCATCCCCACAAAAAAAACTTGTGAGGTCCCGATAAAGCTCACGTTGCAAAACTTTAAGGCATTGATTATTATACTGGTGTCATTGTACAGATGATACCGCTTCTATGGCACTGCCTAGGGGCCATGCAGCTTCAACAAGAGAATTGTGATATTTAACTTGCTTCACTAATGTAATCTGCTGCAATGGATCTAGGCCTGCCAACAAAAGGAAAGAAATCAGCGCAAGAAGAATATTTTATAGATTTCGCAAAAAAGGATCATCATCGCGTACAGGAAAACCTACCGAATCCAAAAACAAGCAGTGTATACTGGTATACAAGATCCATGCATAAATATGGAAGGTTCCCTTCCTCGACATTTGGATAAGTGGATTTGGCATCCTCGAGTTTTGTTTGACAAGCTAGCTTTGCTGCTTTCTCAAAATCCACTGGAAGAACCTTTGCGACAGGTGACTTTTTATCAGCAAAACCAGCCTAGGAATAAATAGTATGGTGATTAGCTTGAGTATGTTGTTGCATTAAAATAAGGGATTAACATCATTAATTGGTTCGAGATTGAATACATTAATAATAAAATACCTCTGCGGCCCGGTCGAAGAAAAATGAAGCTACAAAAAGGTTCTTCTGTCCATCGCCGCCGCCACCATTCCATATCCCACCAAAAGTGCACTTCATATGTGTACATATTGACTCATTAACCTTGAGAGTCTTAAGAGCTATGTCTTTACATTCATTCAAGCTTGAGCCAAAAGGGGAGGATGAGGCCTTAAATGACTTTCCTCCATAATTGTACGACCCTAGAAGAAAAAAACAAATGTATAAATATTTAAGAAAAATGTCATTTGTTCTTAAAATCAATTCAGAACCAGACATGCAGAAAGCAGAAGTTATATTCACCATCATAGCCAGTTAAAATGCAAGGGTTTCCAGAATCATCAGAAATCTTTAAAATCTCTGCCCGAGCTGCTAGTAAACCATAGCGTAAGTAACTGAAAGAAAAATGTTAAGAATTAATGGCCATGGAAGATGGAATTGTATTTTTAAACATATACCTATCTGAAAAACATCTCAAATTTCCATGTCAAGAGCGAGAAGAAAAACCTGTGAACATAGAGGTAATATTTCCTTCCCCTCAGGAACATCTCCTTGACATATGGGTCTTCTCCATCGGGTACTTTTGGAGCCTTGGTAGCATTTGTCTCTGAGATGGCGTATGCCATTTGAACAGATCCGCCTCCAAGATCAACTACCCCGACAGTGTCTGAATAATCTCTTCCCAACTTTCCCAATAGATAGTTAATAGTCACCTAGAATAAAACAAAAGGAAAAGGTGAGACAAACTAAATGCTTTAAATATGTTTCCTTGCTATGTATGACTTTAGTTGCTAGGATGGTATATGAACAGTGTATTTCAATAACTTGAAGAACAGGTCAGATATCAAGCTTTCCAGAATTCTTTATCCTTACTTCAATACAGAAATACAGAACACATTTGTCTCCTGATAGGAGTTCCAATAAGCTCCAACGGTTTCCCCTTCTACAACAGAGCCGCTTCTCTATTCACTATATATATTTCTTTTAACTAACTGCATAACTACTCTATTTAGTCCAATAATCTACCCTTTATTCTTTATCCTACCAGTACCACCACCCCTAAAATGTTAACCTGGTCCTCGAGGCTGTAAACCAAAAACACATTTGTCTTCAGTTTGGGTCTGGATGATTCTCAAAACAGGAAAGTGGAATCCTGAATATCTACTTCAACAATATTTGGTTGCTCAACTTGTATTGAATGATCAAATGGTTTTGATTGTTTCTCAAATGAATATCTATGTATATAGTTGGTACTCGACTGTCTCTGGTGAAAATAGCCTCTTTTTTTCTTGTAACAATAAGGTCTAGATCATTGCCCTCATTTGAAACTTCATTAAATTTGTATACCATCTAACGAATTATTCAGAAGATCGTCTAACAAAGGAAAGCAAATTGTTTTGGAACCTAAACCATCTGTGTGGATAACTATTGTTGAACTAAATATGTAAATAGCACTATTTTAGGACAGAATATTTCATTCTCGGTTTTTTGCTTTCCATATATGCAGGATAGGCATGTAATTTAGTTAATAATAGATTCTATTTCTGTTTTCTCATGCATGCATATATGTGGAATATTCAAAAGTAATGACAAGGAAAAGGAAGATGTCAACCATACGATAATACAACTATAAGTATTGTTAATGAAATGGAGGAACACTTTTGGCATGATCTGCAATAGGAAAGTACCATTCGAGGACAAAAGAAATGCAAAATATAGAACCTACTATGCTGTTTGGGATTGAATGTTGGACAATATGGAACCAACTCGAAAGTAAGCTCAGTGTCACAAAGAAGGGATTGATACGATGATTAAATGATTGCGCAAGAGAAGATAGGGGATTAAGAATACAATCATTAGTGAATATTGAGGTAGTGCCCAATGCAATAAAGGAGTAAAGTATTGTCTGAGGTGGTTTAAACATGTGTAGTAAAGAGACGTCATCATCGAGGATTGTTGTGGTGGTGAGGTGATGAAAACAAATGCTGAACTCTGATTCGAGTATAAGGAATTGCAATTCTTAAGGTCCAAACAAGTAATTAGACTAGGAAATTATCGAGTACACCCAAACAAGATAACTGGAATTAGAATGTCCAATTTCAGTTCCAAGGCTCAATTCCGATTTCCACATATAATTCCATAATATACCAAATGAGACCAAAAAGCATTTCTAAAAAGGTACTTCAAGAGCATGCATCATATTAAAACAACAGGATGCAAGAACCATTCTTCATGAAGGATTAGAGTAACAATTATAAATATAGTTGAGAAGGTTCAAACATAATAGTTTGGTACAGCCACGGAAATATACTCACTAATTTGAAAAGTAAACATTAAAATCCTGACAACAATTGTTTGAAGTAAAAAAAATAGAACCTGAGTTTCAAATCCTAATAAATGACTTAAGCAGAACATAGAAAACTAATGATGTAACTACTGTAGTAGGTTATATAGAATACAGAAAACAGATTCCACAGAAGCAAGTATCAGTGAGTCTAATATTCAATAATCTAACATTGTCAAACTTTCTTAGTTGGACTAGTTTGTAAAGATCATTCACTATTCAAGAAAATAAAAGAACCGATATAGACGCAAGTAACAACACATTCAATAGTCAATGGACTATTGCTCTATTAAGAGACAGAATTATATTTTCCTTGAGTAAAGAGCAATGCATCAGCAGACTCGGACTGTTCCTATTGTGTAACAGTACTTAAAGAAGGTACAACGTAGACAAAGCCTAAAGCCATTCTGGGGGAAGGACAGGTATAATTTTATTTCTAGCTAATTAGTCTCAAAAGACTTACATTATCATTTCTTAGTTGATGATATAAGAATCCATGTAAAAAGAGGGAGAATATTCTTCTCCCAATTTTTTCTATCAAAACCATTTGGAATTGGAAGCTATATGCTCAATGACACTAATTTCTAAATGTATTCAAAAGTTTAAGTCAACCAGTAATAAGTTCACAAAACATACCCATTGAAAAGCACCTTCTTGGGTTCCATCTAGCACAGCAACTGCACCAGGCTCTGATTTTAGAGTACTTCTTTGCTTAAGCAAATCTCGGACCTTAAATACACAAATCATGAAAGCAACATTAGAATGTTGAGTACACATTAGAATGTTGAATATGCACGCACCAAGCAATATTTACCGCTTGCAAGATCCTATCAGAAGCATCCCCTTCCAAAGCCCGCAATCCTGCAGTTGCCTGCATTAGCATAGTTAGGATACATATAATTCAGATGAATAAAAAAATGTACAGTAAAAATGTATATAAACTGTACACACCCCAACTCGAACGGGTGTCATGGGGCGATACTCCAAAGGAACGACACTTTCCGCTTTATCCAAGAGAGAAATAAGAGATCCCGCTGCCTGTCGTGGATCCTGTGCATAAGCACTCAAACCAGGTTTTATCTGTAACACAATAAAAATTATCAATACCAGCAAATTTACATTTGGAAAAAAATCAAAATCAAAATTTCGGTTCATGAAAATACATTTGAAATTTTGTGTCCAATTCACTTTGATAGAAATTTATTCAAACATTAATCACTTTATCTTCAACTCACTTTTTTCAAAATCAATTTTGTTCACGCACAACCAAACACACACTAAATTAATGAGTTAAATTGAGATTAACGACTTTCCATGCAAAATCTTATGAAGCATAGAAAAGCACATTTCACTAATTTAACTTCAACTTTTAGCAAGAATGAATTTACATAATCAATTCACTCAAAATCAATTTTCTTCACCGCAGAATCAAAGACACGCTAAATTAATGAGTTAAATAGAGATTAACGACTTTCGATTTAAATTCTTATGAAGCATGGAAAAGCACATTTCACTGATTTAACTAACCTGCAAGAAAACCTCGAGATCATTACCAATGTGAACAAGATCAAGGTTCCGATCAAAGCGAAAGACGTGAACGCGGCTACCGGAGCTACCAGCGTCGAAAATGACAGCAAACGAATCGGATAGTTTACGATCAGGAGAAATCTTACGGTGCGTTAGGGCGTAATCCTCGATGGATTCATTGGAAGAGGTGGAAGGTATGATGTAAAGTATGAGTGTGATGAGGAGCAGAGGGAGTGCCACCATTAGACAGGCGCCACGGAATTGGTAGATCTTATCGATGAGCGACTCTTGCGCCGGCGCCTGTGGCTGGCGGCCGGAGCGCTTTAGCATTTGTGTGGTTTCGAGTTCCAGATCGGCGGTAGTTTAGTGTTGTAGGAGTTTGGAAGATGACGGTGACCGGTAACGAATATTGCCGGTGCCGGAGATAGTTGCGGTAGCATTAACTGCTTCTGACACTTGCAGTGATTTTAGTATTGATGTTTTAAAAGAAAGATATTTTCTTAACTGTAAAATAAATATTTTCTAAATCAATTCTAAGAAATTGCTTTTGAAAATAAAATAAGTTTTTTTTTTATAAACAATCAATTATATTGAAATTATATTAAGTAGAGTTCATCTCCGAAATACTTACCCATACAAAAGAGAGAAATCGATGACAAATCAGAAAAAAAAAAATAAAACGAGAGAAGAAATAGAGAAGCAAGAATGCCAAAGAGAAAAGAATCAAAGACGTTATTAATATTTATCTTCTAATCTTACCGATGGTTGTTTGGAATCTTGAAAATTGACTTGAAATTACTCCAACAGTTTCTTTCGAATTTTGAGTTGAATGTCTCAATCCTCCAACTTACCTCCCACAAAGGTCAAGTTATTCCTACAAATCCATACATTCAGCAAATGGAAGCCCTGAAAAAATTAAGAAGATTCACATAAAACTTAGATTTGGTGAAAACGCAAAAGAGATCAAAATGATTTTGAATTGAGTTTTTCTCCTTTACTATTCTAATTACAATCAAACAGTGTTCTTTAGACCAAACAATTGTAGCAACAAGACAGTTTAAGAAAAGATGGATGTCATCTTCAATACTTAAGTCACAAAAAACGCACTTCAAATTCTAATTTTTTGAAAACCATGACCTCCATCCATTTCATCCATTTATGCTCAAAGTTCATAGACTTCAAAATATGCCTTAAGTAGTTCCAAGAGATATGAGCGTAAGCTTATTTAAAGTTGATCTTCACAATTAAAGAATCCTTCTTGAATCTCTTAGCATAATCCATAACCTCATTAACCACCAACACTCCATATTTAATGTGTCTTTGAGATATGAAAGTTAATTGACATTGTGAAACTAAATCGTTCACCGCCTTCTTAAGTCTTGTCGCCAAGAGTTTGGATCGAATCTTGTAAAGACTTCCTATCAAACAAATTGGCCTATAATTATGAAGTCTTTAATGATTAGATTGCTTAGGGTTTGAGGCAAGAAACGAGGCATTTGCTGCTTTGAGGAGGGGAACTTTCCAATGGAAAGAATTGATAAAGCTTAGAACATCTACTTTAATAATCTCTCAAATGTTTTTGAAAAAATTAGACCAAAGTCATCCAGTCCAGGGATGACATCACTATATGCAGTCCATATCACCTCTTTTACTTCATCTGCACTAAGGGTTCTTTAAGAAAAAGTCTCTCTTCTTCACTGAATTTCTTGAAATCAACTCCTTCAAGAACCAACCTCCTCTGAACAAGCTCACTAAAGATAACTTCGAAATGTTGATATACTTCCCCTCTAATCTCATCCACACTCTCCTTCAGGCACGTAGATAACTTCAAAGCAGTAATATTACTTTTCCTAAATCTTTGCTTCATACAATTATGGAAGAATCTAGAGTTGGAGTCCCTTTCTCTAATCCATTGGTGTCTAGATTTTTGTTGCAATATACTCTCTCTAACACTCGTGGTTTGCCAAACTTTGGAGGAAGCCTCCTCCCTAGCTTCTCCAAATGAACAAATGTGAGCACTTGAGTTAGCCTTGGAATCAATGTTTTTTAGAGATGTCACAGGTTTTTCTACTTCAAGATCAAGGATGCCAAAAGTTTCTTTGTTCCAAACTTTTAGCTTTCCTTTCAAACATTTCAACTTCACATTTAAAACAAAACCTGGAAAACCTAAAATCTTCAAGGATTTATAAGTCTAATAAGTGAAATACATAAATTCCTCGTGATGTAGCCAACAATTAAAGAACTTGAAGGGCTTTAGGCCCTAATTAACGATGTTGCCTTTTACCCAAATAGAGCAATGGTCTGAAAGGTCTCTACTTTCTATAAATTGATTAGTAATGTTCCAAACATGCATCAAACCTTTTGACGTTAAGAATCTTTCAAGTCTACTCATGGCTAGGGATGGCAAAGGGTAAGGTTTCGGCATGGTACTATAGTATTCATCCTCATACCCGCAGTTTTAAAAAATTCTCGTACCCGAGTTCATACTCATGTGGGCACCAAATTTATGCATGTGTTTGTACCCTATGGGTAGCTAAGTACCCATACTCAGACCTATTTTTATCCGTATTTCTAATAAAACAGTATCAATCAATTATAATTTATCATGTCATTTTAAGATTTTTGCAACATCAAAAAAATTCAAAGATATTATTGTTGAGTTAAGAAATAAACAAACACTTATGTTGAAATGGATACAAGTTCAATATAGATGTTTTCAATAAAATCGATAAACATACACGTGTAAGTTATGAGTGTGCCTAAGAGGGGGGGGGGGGGGTGAATTAGGACTTTAAAAATTTATCTGGTTTTTGTGTGGTGTAAATTTCTTTTCTTTCTTGATGTGATAAGTGATGAAAGCTATAAAAGTGAAAAATAATGAACATCAAGAATTATCCTGGTTCCTCTTACGCAGTAATAGATTTCAATATTGTTAGAATTTTATACAAGCCTATTCTAGACTTTTATACACTGGGTTCTAACCTAATCACCAAGAACACTCCTCTTGTGATTTACAACTTAAGAAAAGAAAACAATCATTCATTTTCTTACATCCTTGTTTCCAACAATCCGGGACAACAAGTAAAATAACCTCACCATCTTATATCCAACAATCCTGAAAAAATAAGATGTAAATAAAGTAATGAATTTGAGTAGTTGTAACACCTTGTGTGTGTGTGTGTGTGTGTGTGTGTGTGTGTGTGTGTGTGTGTGTGTGTGTGTGTGTGTGTGTGTGTGTGTGTGTGTGTGTGTGTATATATATATATATATATATATATATATATATATATATAATATATATATATATATATATATATATATATATATATATATATATATATATATATATATATATATATATATATATATATATATATATATATATATATATATATATATATATATATATATATATATATATATATATATATATATATATATATATATATATATATATATATATATATATATATATATATATATATATATATATATATATATATATATATATATATATATATATATATATATATATATATATATATATATATATATATATATATATATATATATATATATATATTATACAAGGTGTTACAGCTACTCAAAATTCATTACTTTATTTACAAGAGCTATTATCAATAACAATAATAATAATATCATACAAGAGTTATTATCTAGTACTGACACCATCATAAGTGTCTATTGGCATAATTTACATAGTTGACCATTTTACAAAAACATAAAAGAACAACAACGGTACAAGATATGAAAAGTGCCCAACATAAAAATCTAAGATTAGAGTATAATATCCATCATTGTACAATATACATAATACACAGTGGAAAACATAATCTAAGCTTCTCTTGAAACATCTAAGCATAACTTCACTTGTAAACTAAACCTTCAAACAACACCTGAAAAACAACAATAATAATGGGGTGGAGTTCCCCTATCTTATAGGTTCACTCGGCTCTACAGGGTTCTAATTAATTTCTATCTCAAGTTAAAAGAGAAAGGGATAAGAGTTGAGTTCACATAATTCGCAATGTATGGAAACATGTCTCTTGAGTCCACCAACTCAAACAATCACTAATCAGAAATTGTACCAAGGCATCCCTTTTTCTCGTCTTCTCCTACGTCTAGGACTTTCGGTACGGGTCATGTATCCTTGTAATGTACTTTGATATACAAAATGGATTCATATTCAAGGTGTTTTCCACATGAATCGTCGCTTCCCATGGGATTACCCCCATATCAAGCATTTTACCCATAGGCTTCATTCGTACTACACACGGGAATCAAACCTATCAAAGTAATAGTGTGTACATTCCAGAGGAGCGCTCTACATAAGCCTCAACTCTTGGGACAACACATCTCAATGGATTGTTTCCGACTATGTGATAAAAACATATCATAACACCGAATGGATTCAGATTCTAAGGGATAACATCAACCTTACGAGTCGTCTCTTCCCATGGGTATACCCACATCTCAAACCTTTTACCCGTAGGTCCCATTTTCTTATGTAATCACTAAGGATAGCATGATTGTATTCAAAAATTACAAGGCATCACATTCTCCTTGACCATAAATAACACAACCCATACATGTTTCATACAAAATTCTCCTCACAACTAGGCAACTAATTGTCAATGATACACCCTAGGCATCCTTGCACAAGCATTACCATCTATGTTATTCATCATGACCGAATCATCTTACTAATTCATTTCTTTAGTTAATATCAAGGGTTTCCTCACAATTCTTATAGTCGTTTAAGCATGTTATCACACAATCACATTCATATATATCATGCATAAACACATATGGTAACATAGTATAATGCATCAAGCATAAACATTTCACATAAGGCATAAAATCATCATTATTTCTCTACCGACATTCTCGGTTAATTTGTGATCACATAATAGATAGGTCTTTCGGAGCCAAGCCCCTCACTAAAGATCAAACCAATCACATAGTGCTCAACACAACACAAGGTGTTCATCTCCACCAATTCACGTAATATTCCACATTTTTTAAATTCAATGCCATCCTATCAAACCAATGCATATACTTCTTATCACATAGAGCATTGGAATAACTTTCCAACGCTTCCGACTGTGCCTCAATCCAAGTTACGGTTCAAAAGTTATGAAGAAAATAAGAAATGGGAAAACACAAGTATGTCATGGTCGTTGTGCGACGGGAAGGCGAGGCTGATCGCTTTGAGTTCGTTGTGTGAGCTCTGGGCGAGGAAGAGGCAGAAACAATTTCCCTCATTCGTCACTGTGTGAGCTATGGGTGAATGCTCTCCTACTGCTCGT